CTAATTACAGGTAAATTAGCCACTCTACAGATATAACCATCTATTTTTGACAAGGTGACAGAAGCTCAACGTCAAGATTCTACTATTGACAAGTATTGGAAAGAAGCTGATGAAGGAAAAGAGACATAATTCAAAGTCTCTGATAAGGGAATACTCACATTACAAGGAAGGGTTTGTGTTCCGAAAGATGAAAAACTTAAGAGTCAAATTCTTTCTGAAGCTCATAATACCCCTTATTCGATACATCCAGGAGTGACTAAGATGTATCAAGATCTAAAACAACACTTTTCGTGGAGATATATGAAAAATGACATTGTGGACTACGTTAGTCGTTGTTTAACATGCCAAAAGGTTAAAACAGAGCATAAACGTCCAGCTGGAGAGCTGTAACCATTAGATGTTCCGGAATGGAAATGGGAGCATATAACTATGGATTTTGTGGTAGGACTACCAAAAACAAGTGAAGTTTATGATGCAATCTAGGTAATTGTTGATAGATTGACTAAATATGCCCATTTTGTACCTATAAAAGTGACGTATACCCTTGACAAGTTAGTAGAGTTATACGTCACCAACATAGTTAGACTGCATGGAATACCTTTATCCATTGTCTCATATCGGGATAGCCGCTTTACCTCCATGTTTTGGAAGAATGTACAAGAAGCCATGGGCTCAGAATTAAGATTTAGCACAGCTTTTCATCCTCAGACAGATGGACAATCGGAACGTACCATCCAAACTTTAGAAGATATGCTTAGGGCATGTGTGATGGATTTTAAAGGAGCATGGAATAAGAAACTATCATTGATTGAATTCTCGTCTAACAACAGTTATCAAGCTTCAATCAGTATGCCACCATATGAAGCTTTGTATGGAAGAAAGTGTAGATCTCCCATTCATTGGTATGAAACCAGGGAGAAACAATTGCATAAGACGGAATTCATTCAGGAGGCAGTTGAATCCATCCAAAAAATCCATCAGAGAATGAAGACGGCACAAGACCGTCAGAAAAGCTATGCTGATAAGCGTAGAAGACCCTTAGAGTTTAATGAAGAGGATGAAGTTTTCTTGAAGATCGCACCCATGAAAGGTGTTATGCGTTTTGGCAAGAAAGGCAAATTGAGCCCAAGGTATATAGGACCTTTCCAGATTATTAAAAGAATAGGGAAAGTAGCCTATCGACTGGCTTTACCGCCAGAATTAGCTGCGGTACATGATGTATTCCATGTCTCGATGTTAAATAAGTATGTACCCGATTCATCTCATGTTATAAAACATGAACCAATACAGATTCACGAGGACATGACTTATGAGGAACAACCGGTGCAAATACTTGCATGAGAAGAGAAGCGTCTTCGTAATCGAAGTATTCCACTTGTAAAGATACTGTGGAGGAATCAAAAAGTGGAAGAAGCAACATGGGAACGTGAAGATGAGAAGAAAATACCCCCATTTGTTTTGATTTTCGGGACGAAAATTTCTTAAGAAGGGGTGAATGTAATGACCGGGAAAAATTTA